GAGCCTCAGGCCCAGGCCCCAGTGGCGGTGGGGCACAGATTGACGACAGGAGTACAGAGTGCCTGGCCCCCGGCAGCGGGGCGGGGCGGGGCCGGGTGGGCTGCCTACGGCCCACGGCGCAGGCGCGCATGCCGGCAATGCTTCAAGTACTCGTGCTGCTTCCTTCACGGCAGAAGGTTCAGAAACGGCACGGAACAAATAAAAACAAATGGTGTCGTGGACCTATAGTGGTTCTACTATTGCTGGGCCTACACCTTCTGCAGGCGGATGGAGACGTGGCTGAGGACGAGGAAGAAGGCGACCCAGCCCGTGGTGACGAGGAAGGCCGCCCACACGTCCCACTCGTCCAGGCCCCAGCCGCGGCCCATGATGACGCGCAGGCCGTGCACGGGGTAGGTCAGCGGCAGCGCGTGCGACACGTGCCGGAGCGACTCGTGCATGCCCTCCCACGGCCAGGACACGCCTAATGACAGACAAAAAGGAGGCGACGAAAAATGGCGTTTAACCGCTCGCACCTGCCGCACCCACGATTAGGCGCACGTAGCGACATGTTGGCGATACTCACTGCCGACGAACATGAACACGAAGCTGAGGGCCATGCCGATGAGCGAGGCGGCCCATTCGGTCGGAGCGTGCAGCGCCACCAGGAACCCTGGGAAGGAACACGGTCGTCATTGAGCTGGCCGAACTTGGGAAACGAAGATCAATGTTATTTTAAAATCAATGAGCAAGCTTACCGAACCACATCCCGGAGAGTCCGAGAACGAACATGAGCGTAAACGAGAGCATGAAGGAGCCTTCGATGTCGAGTTGGAAGACACCAAACATCATGGTGAAGATGATGACGGTCTGCAGGGCCATGAGCAGCAGTTGCACTACGTAGTGGGCGTAGAGCACCTCCATAAGCTTCACCCCTAGTAACAGAGAGAGTACCACGTGATCATCTGCTAAACGGAGAGGAGGTGCTAGTGTGAAAGGCTTACCCGTGACGAGCTGCCTCTCCAGGATGGAGTTCCTTTTCTCGGGCAGGAGCGCGCACATGGCGGAGTTCCCGGCGAGCATGAACACCAAACTAGAAAAATCACAGGGGGAAAAGTGTAAGCGAGGTCGGGTGCGAGTGCGATTTAACCCAGGCATATAGGAAGGTACGTGGTCGCCAACCTGCATATCATTCCTGGAGATGCAAAGTTGATGAACTCGGGATCGGACTCTCCGTAGATGGGCTCCTCAAACTGGAACACAAAGTTTGTAGGCGTGTAATGCATCCTGCCTGACAGCAAAACTTCCGAATTGCTTTCTTGCCTTAGCGCGACGTTTCGTTTCCAGAGATCTCTGGAAACGAAACGTCGACTCGAGTCGTATCGCCCGCCCATTCTTTGGGATGGCAGCAGGTGGCCAACCTCTCACGTGAAATGAGCGTCTCGCCCGTGTGGGTGAGATAGAAAGACAGACAGACAGAGAAATGTGGTGGAGTGTTGTGGGCAGCTGCCCAAAGCGCCCATCGAGATAACCGTGGGAGCTCCCCGGGACGGAGCGCCTGCGAAGTGTCGGGTAGGCAACCCCGCGAGGCAGGCGTGCGCGACGGGGCGGCCCGACCCGCAGGCGCTCCCAACGGGAACAGGGCGGGGCACTGCGGGGCAGGTGTCTGAGGAGGATGCACGCACCTCCACTGGGAGCGCGCCCGCCATCCGGGGGTAGCCACAATCGGAGAACATGTCCTTGATGAACACCTGCATGAGATCCTGCAGTTTTTTCTTCAACAACTGACTGATCATGGCGTCTGCGAGGAAAACCGTCTGATGTTAACGTATGATTCTGATACTGACAGATGTGAGTGCGTGGAACTCAAACTGGCACCTGTCATGTCCATGGTGATGTCCACCGTACTGGCTTCCACGTCTGCGTCTGAGGTCTGCCGCCCGTTTTCAATCCGCTCGTAGAGGCTCTTGGTGAAATTGTGCCGGAAGTACAGGACGCCCCAGGACTTCCCGTCCTTGACTTGCTGTAGGGCCTCGTCGTAGTCCGTGTACCAGTCCTGGGAAATGGAAAAGCCAATCAGGAACGGCCCCTCTGGCACTGCGTTGCGTGCCCTAGTGCGAGACGGGGGAACACTCACAAAGTCGACGTCCTTATTGCTGACCATCTCGATGTAGATGCACGAGATCTGCGTGGTGTTCCCGCAGCGCCCGTGCCACAGGATGTCACCGGGCTCGGTGCAGTTGGACTCCTCGTTGACGATGGTCATGGGCAGGTCCTTCGGGTCGCGGCCGATGGACCAGCAGAACGTGCAGGACTGGACGACGGACAGGATGACTAGCATCCCGATCACCCTGCGCAAGAAAGACGTCACCTTTTGGCCCTGCTCTCCCCGGTCGCGCGCAGCTCGCGTGACCCCCGCGCCACGACTCATGGCCGCACACGGCCGGACAGTCGGCCATCAGCCCGACAACCAAACCCTTCTGCAGAAATGATAGGTCATTTTTTAAGGCCGTAAGTACGCATGGCAAATTACTTCGTGTCCAAAGTTTTATATGATTATGCACGAAATTGCCACGAATAAAGTCATGTTTGCTCAAAATTGCATAGATTAGATCTAGCCTGTACACAAATTATGAATGGTGGACAAATGTTAATTATTCAAATATATACAGGACCTATACGCACCACTTGCTTCGCCTCAGCCACGTGATGTTTCTCCACACGAGGGCGTAGAAGCGCGACCACATGGTGCTGCCCTGGCTGAGGCTGGTCCCCTCGGACGGCGTCACGTGGTACAGGTTCTCGTTCTCGACGGGCGCCGCCGGCACGAAGCTGGTGCTCTCGTCCTCGTGGCCCTCGATGGCGCCGAGCTCCTCCTGCTGTCTGCTCAGCAGCAGCAGCACGTCCTCGAGGTTGTCGCAGTGGAAGCGCGTGAGCAGGTCCTCGGGGGAGGCCTGCGCCAGCAGCACGCCGTTACGCATCAGCCCGATCTGCAAGGAGAGAGGAGTGAGTGAGTAAGTGACAGCGTGCGTGTATCTGTGTCTGTGATTGTCTTCCGTCAGTTTTGGCGGAAGGTCGCCGCCATGAATACAAACAGAATAGCAAGCGAGCACTGTGAAAAATCTGTTCGTACATGTGCGTTATATTTTGAAATTTGCCATTTACAAAATGTGTCGTACATGGTACAACCTCCCACCAAGCTCCCCACTCTTGCTCGACATCTGATTTTTAGTCGATTCGGTGTGCTTGCACATTTACAATCTTAAATTGTAATTGTATGACTTCTTCCATGGAAAGTTTTATCGTACCGGGTGACCGGGTACGACAATTTTTGACAGTCATGGGAAGATACGAGAATAATGCATTGACATTGACCTCGTTTGCCACAGCAAGGCGGTGCGATCCGACCCGACTTCATATTCCAAATCAATACAACCTTCGCAATATAATAAGGGAAGTGCGTTCCGCAACGTCGCCGCGCCGCACTTGGCGGCGGCGTGCGAATGCGTCAGGGGTTGCGGGGGCCCGGCGCGGCGCCTCCATCGGTATACTGTATGAACTTTTTTAGCACCTCCGCATTTGAGATGCGGCGACAGCCTTCTGTTCGCACCTCGTTCCCAAACACTTACCGCATGTGCCGATCTGGCCTCCTCGATGTAGTGGGTGGTGATAATGACAGTGGTCTTCTTGGTCGTCACCATCTCCATCAGATGGTCCCAGATGCTGAAAGGGGGCCACGAGTTTGTTAGGATTGGTTTGGCATTCTGTCGAGTTGACACCCGATAATGGTAGTTACGAAATTGGGGATCGGCAAGTGCCAGTTAGAAGGAAAATGGCAACATTTTGATAGAAAGGGTATACAGAGGATTTCCTGTGCACGACACTTGCCTCTGTCGAAGAACAGGGTCCACGCCGACGGTGGGCTCGTCCAGGATCAGGAGCGCCGGCCTATGTAGCAACGCTACCGCGAATGAGACTCGCCTCTGTTGGCCACCACTGCAACAAGAAGAAAGGTGAGATTACAAATAACCAAGGAGATACCAGGGCGACCCCAGGCAGGCGCTTAGGGAGACACACCTGAGGCTGCCGACGGCGGCACCGTGCGTCGGGAGGTCCAGGAGTTTCATCACGCTCTTCGTCTGAGCTTCGATGGTCTCGTCGGCCAGACCGGCGATGCGTCCAAAGTACCATAGTGTTTCCTTGATATTGAACTCCTCGTACAGACCCAACTCCTGCTCAGCAAAAAAATAAAACAAGGAATTATAAATAAACTCTCCACCCGTTTGGGCTGCCTGTGTGGAAATTATTTTAAACTATCATTGGGCAATTTCACACGTGCCAGCCTTCCCTTCCCCTCCCCCCCTTTTCCCTGTCCATGTCACCGTGATGTGACATTCATGTCCAGCTCATGGCTGCTCAGGCAGGCAGCCCTGTAGCGCCGTTTTTATCGCCTCTGCAATCAACGCAAACATCCATTTTGGGCCGCCCTAATGCCCCCCCTCCCCCCGCCATCATGACACGGGCACGCAAGCCACCAATTGCTGTCCATTCCGACTAAAATTTATGAGGTCATGCTCAGCTCAAATTCATTTCACATTTTCTTGGGAAACTGTATAATGAAAGGAAACCCTGACGGGCAGCCAATAACTCGCAATTATTGAAACCTGCGATGTCGGAGACCATCCAGGTGGATGGGCCCGAGTCACGGCTCGACAGCGAGGTCGATGGCCATCAATGTGAGCACGGCTGCTCTCCCAGAGGACACGGAGCGCCGAGCACGACGAGCAGGCCGTGGCCGGGGGGCCGGGGCGGGGCGCGGCTTTCCGAATACTAGATGGTGGTCGAAGGTGGTGGGATGGGAACGAAGCTAACAAAGTGACGCAAGCGGCAGAGTGCGCGGAAAGGAAACAAGTTACGGAAGAGGGGCAAGAGACACCATTTGTAGTCCGAACTCTAGGCATGCGTTGTTTAAATCATTCAGGATGAGAAGCATGACGCGCGGGTGCGGCGGGTCTGGCTCTTGTTTGCCGAGCTCCTCCAGAAGGGAACGGGAGGGGATCCTGCTCTACGCACAACGTAAAGTTGTTTCATCTGATTTACCTGCTTTGCATTGCAGATTATGTCAGGGCTAAGTAGTCGCTTTAATTGTTCGCGTCGCGCGTGGCGCCGGCGCGTCTTTGCGGTCACCACTGCACGGCGAATAAAAGTTCCTCGAATTCCAAGAGACCCGGTTTTGGATCTTATTGAGAGCGCCATTGACATTTTAAGACCGGGTATTGAAACGCAAGGAACGTTTTTTTACCGTGTGCTACTGCCGCTGCTGCCTCCGCCACGCGCAGGGTTGCCAGGAGCCGAGCGAGTCAAGTCGCCAGAGCCGAGCGCGAAGTGCGCCCGAGTGCGCCCGGAGCCGTTCGGCCAATGAAATCGCCCGAAAACGCCCGAAATCGCCCGGGGTATTCAAAAATCGCCCGGCTGGCGCCCGGGATTTTCCGGGAATTCCAGCTTGTCTAAGGGTGTTTTGTCACAAATATTTGCATAAAGTTTGTAATTATGCTTTTTTATCGTGCCTTACATCGGCATTTTACACATTTCCTTCGAAAACGGGTGAAATAGGCCTAAAAAACATCAAAAAACACCCAAAAAACGGAAAGTCGCCCGAATCGCCCGGTTCAAAATAAAAATCGCCCGGAAATCGCCCGGGCGCATTTGGACCTTAAAAGTGCGCCCGGAGTCACCAAAAATCGCCCGGC